GAAAGCGTTCCGCCATGCGTTCCGCCGTGCGTTCCGCGGTGCGTGGCATGCAGCATGTTCCGGGGTGACCAAATGCGCCGAATCGGAAGATGGATGATGAAGGTAAAAGCATGTAAAGAGGATTGGTGAAACGGTCGAACCTGTATTACCATGCCATACCAACCCTTTTTGAGCGTTTCTGTAGTCACTCCACCTCCGGGGGTGAAGCGCAATGCCTTCAGCTTTTGGACAGACAGGAGCTGTCTCCTTGCAGGCGCGCCGAAGATTCCCTGGATGTGTGTAGAGCATCGAACACTTCTTGGTGGCAGAGAGGTGGCAGTGACCATTTCCAGGAAACCGTCGTCGAACATGGCTCAGTCGATGAACAAAGGTCCAAGTGGAGTCGATCCGAAGAGCGATCTGAAAGATCCGAAGGAGGAGGGTCCTTTCTCGCTTCTTTGAAATGTATGCAAGTGCGTGCAAGCCCCGGCTTGCTCACGTGTGATCCAGATTGTGATCAGTGAGGTGGAACTGTGTATGATTTGTAATGGTATCATTGTAATTACCATGGATTTGGTTTGATTGTACAAGCCGATCAAGGTGGTGATTGTACCAGCCCCAAACCCACAGCCAGCCTGCAGGGTATTTCTTGACTCTCTTAGAAGCCCACTGCAGTATACTGCAGGATGGCTGCAGTGATGGGCCTGTTTGAAGGCCAAGACAATGAGTACCGCGCGCTGGGCGCAGGTGCTTGAGTGAACCTTGCCTTTTACTTCTCATCTTCCTGCTGCGGGCGGAGCCAGGCCGCTTCGAAGCCTGCCATGAGCTGGTGCAACAGATGCAACATGCGCAACATGCGCCGGGATGGTCCTACAGACCCTGCAGAAACGCGTGTTCAAAAACGTTTTTTTGCAGAAGGTTTTGTGGGGGAAGCCTTTTGGACATGGAAGCCTATACTAGCCAACAGCCTATACAGTGACCAGCGACTTCAGAATCATATTGTCTATTGGTTTGGCAGCGTGAGTGATATGAGTCGTATCAAGATGGATATGAGTACTGGAATGGCATCGCCTTGGCCGTCGCGGGAGGTTGGCTGCGAGACTGTGATTTGTTCAAGATCCAGCCGCTTTTGGTGCGCCTGGCGCGCTCGACGAGCCGCACGCCCGGCAGTCAACGCTTGCTGCTGCTCCGCTACTCGGACACGCGGAAGGGTACGGGAAAAGAAAGATACAGATACCTGGAGCGTTCGCATCCAAGGGGTTCTAAACTAGACTGATTACATGTGGGCTTCTATAGTGGCTTCCATTCACCACCAATTGGATCGTCCTGGTCGCGATAGTGTCGACATCAGGATGGTTCGAAGCACCAATAGCCTCTTGTGGCGGCATCTCCAGCAGAAACCAAGAGAACATCAAGAGGCGTGAACCTTAACTAGGGTTTGGGCTGACAACAGCCCTTTGTTTGGCGTGAGCTGGGGTTTCCTTCTACCAAAAGCCTGTACAGAAGTCATGCGTGTGTGCACATAGTCTCCCTTTGAAGGACCCTTGAACCAGAACAGGTACCAGGTACCGCAACACAGAACTTTCATGAATGTTCAAGTCAGCAAGGGGCCATTTTTCTGGCTTTGACCTACCCAGTCGCTTGTTTTGGTTGAGGGGGACGTAGAGAAAAGCTGACGCTCTCCATCGCTATCGCTTTCGCCTCGCTGCGGTCCATCTCTCCGGACTCCTCTTCGGCCTCATGGCACATCCCCAGACTCGGACCGAACCTCATAGGTCATCCGACCCGCCGAAGAAAACGGAAGGACACCGAAACCCGACCGATGCCGACCTGCCGGGCCGAACCGTCTTCCCGGGGGGCCGGAATTCCCGGCGCGGCCGAGGCCTGGCCGAGGAGCTGCTGTTCTTGGAGTGGTGCTCTGAATGCCACCGGGCGCGGGCACCGAGCCGGACGGTCGATTCGGGTCGATGCCGGACTGCTGCTTCTGGTGCGGTGACCAGAAGCGGCCCTGCGGCAGACCTGGAAGCTGCAGGTGTTGCAGGTGAATGAATGAGACATAATGAGATCAAATAAATTGAAAGAATCAGCAGACATCCATGATGCCCTTGAGTATTGGACGATTTTTTGGAGTTTGTTAGGGCCATGGGCTGATGACCAAAGGGGCATGGGAGTTGGTTTGTACTGTTTCCATCCTGTCCACACCTACCCTGTTGGAAAGACAGAAGACTTTTTAAGGCTGTTTTCTTCTACCTGTGATGGTACACTAGATACTGAAACACCCCAGATCTGTCCAGGCGTGCATGAGGGCGGGCATTAATGGGCGAATCTCCCAGAACAACTGTGGAATACTGTGGAGAATCGATCCCAGCTCGATTCTGAAACACTGTTTTGCCCAATCTCGACCTATGGCTTTGATGTTTGTCACTCACAAGGAAAAAACAGTCCTCCACAACGCCCTGGCCAGAAACACCAGCGAGCACTTCTGTGGAATCCTCCGAAGACGGTCGCGCGCCACACCGCCACACCAATCCGGTCGAATTCGACCACTCGCGCCCCTGGGCACCCAGGTGGTGCTTCGTCAGCTGTTGGCGGAGCGCCACGTATGGGACCGGGCGACGCAAGAGCTTCGAGAGCTTCGAGAGCGCACGCACACGGAGGCTGGAAGATCAAGAGCACTCGGTGGTCTTGCGGATCGGATGATGTTTTATGGTCCGATTAGATCCCCTCACCTGGGGAAGATGTTCTAAATATTCTAATACTGTATAAGATGTGCTAATTATGTATGTTAGTTTTTTCCCGGTTCCTTGAGCAAATCCAAGAAACACCGGCCAGACCGGTCTTCGACAAAAGGTGTGTCCCCATGTCTCCAAAAAACGCAAATCCAGGCTGGCTAGAGGTGCTCTTTGCTACAATGCGACTTGCTGTGCTTGTTGTTTTAATGTTTTTTATCTGCCCCCCGTCTGAAGATGCTGGGGGGTTCAGTTTTCCAGTGCAGTCTACCAAAGGTGCAGTCTACCCAGGCCACCTGATAACTGCTACGCTCAACACTACAGTCTTCGGGTGCACCTTACGTAGAAAGCTTCCTTTCTCAACGGCTCTGGCCGTTGGCCGCAGGTGCCATCGGACGCTTCCCAAGGGGATGACGTGGTGATGTCGGAGGGCTCGGACGAGGCGGACGCGTCGCAAGACGTCTGGTTTTTTTTGGTGCTTGAGCTCATAGCTGAAGTCAAGTTTGATCAATTGTGCGCACAATTCCGAAGTCTGGTATTCTGGTGTTTTGGGATTTGCTGTGGTTTCAAGTGAATGGTTGAGTCAATTTCAACTGTGTGTCGAACCTGAAACATATTGCATCAATTCTTGCAGGTGCCTCTCTGAAAGAAAGTCTGTTTGTGTGCTCCTTTGTGGGCAGCAAAAAGTGTCGTTTTGAATCTTGTTCTGTTCAAGTTATTATATACCGGTACGTTATATATATATATAATAGTTCAATGATGATAGTGATGTTCAATGAACAATGATGATTCTTGCCTACTATTTTGGTGTGCAAAGACCACCAAATACACAGGTTGTGGAACTTCCGAACCTCCGCCGAGCGCTTTGGGGCAGGACATGGACCTCATGTCCCTGCAGCGCCGGGCGGCGGAGCGCCGGCGCGCGGAAGGCAACACAGAAGGGGAGGAGAGATCCGACCAACATGATGTTTAATATCATTTATATATAATGTAAGATCTGAATCCTCTGGCTGTTTCGTTCTAGAGCTGTGTGGTAACTCTTGTGCTTCCTATTGCTTCGTGCTTGCTTTGACCCACAGCCAATGGCGAGCCAATCCAACCCGTAGAAGTCGACATGGAAACAAGAAAGGAATCAGAAAGAAACGGACAAATATAGATCCTAGTCTGAACATCGTGCTTCACAATCTCACGTACAAAGGATCTCCAGTGGACCTGCCGTATTTTGCTCCTTGCCGCCGCAGCTGGCCAGGTAGCCGCTTGCCCATTTTTGCATCCAACTTGGAATGTTTGGGGGCGCTCCATCGAGCAGCTTCTCAACGGCTTTGTGCCTGCCTGGCGGTGCCAGGCCGTGCCGAGATCATATGCCTTATCAGGTGAAGTAAAGGTGGCATCGTTGTTTCGGGGGATCAACAACATCTCGCAGCCACCCTTCGCCACCCGCAGGACAGAACTGAGATGACACACAGCTCGCTCCGAGCTTTGCTTTTCAGCCGTTGTTTTCGGTCCATTTTCTGTGGCTGGAAATGGGCAATGCATGCAGCCTCAGGGAGGTGAAACACCCGAATTCGTCAGTGGCCGGCCGAGAATTCGCTCGAGTCAGTCAGTGTTTGGCGGAGGATGCCTACAAGAATAGGAGTTCGCGAAGGAGTGACAGGAGCGAGTGACAGTGTTTGTGTAATTACAACTAGAGCTGCGAAGATGAGAATGTATTGTCCTTCCGCCACTCCAGAGCCATTTCACAAGTCTCGAGACATCTCGAGACCTCCGGGGTTTTGAGGGCTCGCTGGGACATGATGGGACGTGGGACTTGTGCAGAATTCACACCTGCGAAGCCGGCGGGCAGAGAGGCGTGTGCTCCTTTCAGAAAGAATCTCATGATGCTGACAGTAGATGATGACCCTCACGAAAGATCACAAAAGTGTAATTGTGTGGTATGGCACAAGTTGCCACTTTACCGTAGGATGTTAGGGATGTGACTTAATTACGGCACTGAAAGTGTTTGCTCAAGATCTCAGGTGTTTCGAAGAACAATGCTGTTTCATCTTGAACCACCAGAGCTATGCTGTGGTGCTGCTTTGTGGTGGTAGCCGATCATTGGTTAAATGAATGGTTGCATCAATTCGGGATCCACCAGCAGATTGACTGTGAAATCGAGCAAGTTACACAAGCATCGACCAATTCCACATCATTCCACATCTATAATTAGCTATGTCAAAGCTTTGTGCATCGGCTAAGCTCGCGCTCGCATCTTCCACGCGTCTCACTTGCTTGCGTTCAAATCACTGCTCTGAGGTGGGCCGAAGAGCGGGTGCGCTTGGTGTCACATCAATATCAACAGAAGCAGGAGATGACTTGTATGCTTTGCCGGCACTGACTTTGCTAGTTAGAAGCGACGTCCGCGCCGTGGTGTTTCACTCTAAACAATCTCATGTTATCAATGCTTCAATTTTACCAAGTGCTTTCTCAGTTGGACTGCTTCAACTTGGCAGCAAGGACATGTGAATGATTCTGAATGGTCCTCCATGCTCCTCCGGCGAGGAGCTGCTCAAAGCGCAAGCAGATCTGGCCCAGTCCTCAAGCAGATCTGACGAGACCGGAAAGACAACCCGGTCGGACTGGAAAGGGAACCGTTTTTTTGGGGGGTTTGATGTTGGAAAAAACATGAGACAGCCCTGTTGTTTCTTTTTTTTTGTGACAGACGACTGTGAAGACATTCTGAAAGCATCCTCAACAAACGCCCGTTTGTTCCATTCCATCGGATGGATGAGTACAGTCCACGGTCCAGAAGAGTGAGTCGGCTTTAGACTCTCAGATTTGGCCACGCTCCTGTAGTGGTTTCAACCGCAGCAATTCACAATGAATGGAGCAGGGCCAGATGTTCCCAGATGCTGAAATTTAGACGAGAACGCTACTTAGACGCCTGTAGCAGGTCATCGGAGTCAGAGATGGTGAAGTTGAACTTGCAGGTACAGTGGCGATATCAAAATCCTTCTTGTACAAGACGAGTGGAGCAAACCAATCTCACGCCGAACGCATCTGCCCTGACCAAACATGACTGACCAAACTCAGATGCCCTCCAGTCAGCTGGGTGGTCAGTTCCAGGCAGTTCCATCAAACTTCACAGGGTGCGGAGATTGAAAATGGTAACTCCTGTTTGAATGGTGAAACCGACTTTCTGGATGCTATGATGCTGGAAGCCAAACTCAATTAGGTAGGCAAATAATAGGTATTGTGTTTACAATAGTTTAATAGTTTATAATTATGTATAATTTTCAGAATAATCACTTGTGTGTGGAGGGTTTTGGTGCCCAGCTACCGGTCCCAACTCACTTGCCCTATAGGGAGTGAGGTTGAAGGCTAAAGCTTCAACTGAACTACGGAAGGGTTCTCCGCCTCCTCATGCGTAGTTATTGAGCAGCTGGAGTTCTTTTCAAGAGATGCATAGATCAAGCCATCCATGACCAAGAAGAAAGTGTCAGGGAAGAACGAAAGGTTGTACTGCAGCGTAGCTCCAGTCTTCATGGTTCCAGTGATTCTTAGCAGACTGTCCCAAACAATGCTGGATGGCCTTAGACTCTCTCCTTGCAAGACAGCCGGGCTCGGTTAATGTTTTAGGCTCAACTACGCCAAGCAGGAAGTGAGCTGCAGGCAGGAAGAAGGGAAGAAAGGGAAGGCTGTGGGAGGATGTGCTCTTCTGATCATATGTTGGCAAAGTTTGACGAGGTGTCTTCTGGGCAACTTCCTCACCTTGAGGTTCGTAGCTGCTGTAGCTCGATCATTTGGATAGGCACTGTGCGCACTGTTATATGGTCCGGCTCAATCCTCAAACTACTGGACGTCATTTGATGAGTTCATCTTGATACTGATAACCTAGCGGCTACTACTGATCGTTTTTATGAGAAGTTTGACTTTCACTAGTGTGTAGCAGGCTGCGGCTGAGCGGATTGCTGAGCATTCCATGCGTGCTGCACCTGTGGTGGCCACAGAACGGGAGAGGCGCACAACGGGAGAGACGGAAAACGCCAGGTATTCAGAGTCGGAAAACGGAAGGATCGAAAGAAATGTTTTGGCATTCGATGCTTTGGCATTCGATGTTGTGGACATCTGATCCTCGGTTTGACAGTGCGACCATAACCATCCTGCACACTCCCAAGGTAGATGGTGGATATGAGCATTACACTCCGACTTACTAACATGGAAGAGGAAAACCCCCTGTTCGTAAAGGAAAGTCGTCTTCCAAGAGACTATTTGCCCCTTTCATGTTAGTCAATGTTAGATATGTTATACTCAGTCAGAGTGTAGTGACTTCAGTAATGAGCTGCCTGAAGTAGCTCGTCTATAACTCTGAATTACCTTGCTCAATCGATGGGGGCCAACCCTGTAATTGCATATGTCCTTCCTTGATTGAACATGGATCGTTGATAGTTGCGTGCATTCCAAAACACTGGAAAACGATAAAGGCCAACCCAAAAGTATGTTGGCATCTTTTGGCATCTGGGACATAGAGACGTTGTTTTGTTTGCCACTTATATATGTGCGCTTTATCTCAAAACCACTTGTCAAATCCTAAAACAGATCGAATAGTGCTGAGTTTGTTTACGCAGAAGCGGCTGGAGCATCACTGAGCATGTTGAATGGCAAGTGCGAGCCAGGGCAGAATTTGAGATGCAAGGTGCCAACATCGCGAAGAAAACGCGAAGGTTTGCCAAGTTTGCCCTCTCTTGCCCGTCTTGCCCTGCACTTTTGGTTCAACGGACCTGGCCCTGGCGTATTCGGATGCAAATGAGTCACATCGTCATATCGTCCAGTACTTTATGCATGTCTTTTTTACAAAGAACAACCAGAACTAGGACTGCCTTTTTTCTGGGAACACACAGCGTGAGGTGAGTCAGGTGCAGTGTCCATGTGTGAAACGCTGCAAACCGATACGGGACGTCCTAAACTTGAATGCATACACCTGCATTACACAAACAATTTAGGTTAATGACATAAACCAACCACCGATCGGGACGGCGTCTCCTCATAAATTTGGGGTTGCGAGTCTTGCAGCAACAGAGGAAGGAGAAGGAGAAGGAGAGAGAGAGAGAGAGATGTCAGAGATCCTTGGACCTGGCCCACCAGCTCACTCAAATGTAGAATGATGATGAATGATGTAGACAAAAAGCACCAGGAAAATCCACCTCCACTAGCCCACCCCGCAATGGCAGGTTGGCGTCTGAGGCAGCTCTGAATCTCGCCGAGGTCGGCTGCTTTTTTGAGGGGCATCCACGTGCGGTGGGGTTGACTTCTTGCACTCTCCGACGGTTTCGCTTAGTAGAAACCCTTAGGTACTCGTAGTGCTCCTAGTAGCTTTTTGCTCCTAGTAGTATGGCCAGGAGCCCCGAGTAGCGTCCTTGCTCC